CCATCCTCCCCAGTCCCTTTCCCTTTGGTAACTGTTAGTCCTTTCTTTGGGTTCTATGATTCTGCTGCTGTTTTGTTCCTTCAGTTTTTCCTTTGTTCTTATGCTCCACAGATGAGTGAAATCATTTGGTACTTGTCTTTCTCTGCCTGACTTATTTCACTGAGCATAATACCCTCTAGCTCCATCCATGTTGTTGCAAATGGTAGGATTTGTTTTCTTCTTATGGCTGAATAATATTCCATTGTGTATATGTACCACATCTTCTTTATCCATTCATCTACTGATGGACACTTAGGTTGCTTCCATTTCTTGGCTATTGTAAATACTGCTGCCATAAACATAGGGGTGCATCTGTCTTTTACAAATTGGGATGCTGCATTCTTAGGGTAAATTCCTAGAAGTGGAATTCCTGGGTCAAATGGTATTTCTATTTTGAACTTGAGGAACCTCCATACTGCTTTCCACAATGGTTGAACTAATTTACATTCCCACCAGTAGTGTAGGAGGGTTCCCTTTTTTCCACAACCACGCCAACATTTGTTGTTGTTTGTCTTTTGGATGGTGGCGATCCTTACGGGTGTGAGGTGATATCTCATTGTGGTTTTAATTTGCATTTCTCTGTTGACTAGTGATGTGGAACATCTTTTCATGTGCCTGTTGGCCATCTGAATTTCTTCTTTGCCGAATTGTCTGTTCAGCTCCTCTGCTCATGTTTTAATTGGATTGTTCACTTTTTCTTTGTTGAGGTGCATGAGCTCTTTATATATTTTGGATGTCAACCCTTTATCAGATCTGTCATTTATGAAAATATTCTCCCATACTGTAAGATGCCTTTTTGTTCTGTTGATGGTGTCCTTTGCTGTACAGAAGCTTTTCAGCTTGATATTGTCCCACTTGTTCATTTTTGCTTTTGTTTTCCTTGCCTGGGAGATATGTTCATGAAGAAGTTGCTCATGTTTATGTCGAAGAGATTTTTGCCTATGTTTTTTTCTAAGAGTTTTATGGTTTCATGGCTTACATTCAGGTCTTTGATCCATTTTGAATTTACTTTTGTGTATGGGGTTAGACAATGATCCAGTTTCATTCTCTTACATGTAGCTGTCCAGTTTTGCCAATACCATCTGTTGAAGAGGCTGTCATTTCCCTATTGTATGTCCATGGCTCCTTTATCATATATTAATTGACCATAAATGTTTGGGTTAATATTTGGAGACTCTATTCTATTCCACTGGTCTTTGGCTCTGTTCTTGTGCCAGTACCAAATTGTCTTGATTACTGTGGCTTTGTAGTAGAGCTTGAAGTTGAGGAGTGCGATCCCTCCCACTTCATTCTTCCTTCTCAGGATTGCTTTGGCTATTCGGGGTCTTTGGTGGTTCCATATGAATTTTAGAACTGTTTGCTCCAGTTCATTGAAGAATGCTGTTGGTAATTTGATGGGGATTGCATTAAATCTGTAGATTGCTTTGGGCAGGATGGCCATTTTAACAATATTAATTCTTCCTAGCCAAGAGCATGGAATGAGTTTCCATTTGTTAGTGTCCTCTTTAATTTCTCTTAAGAATGTCTTGTAGTTTTCGGGGTATAGGTCTTTCACTACCTTGGTTAAGTTTATTCCTAGGTATTTTATTCTTTTTGATGCAATTGTAAATGGAATTGTTTTCCTGGTTTCTCTTTCTATTAGTTCATTGTTAGTGTATAGAAAAGCCTCAGATTTCTGTGTATTAATTTTGTATCCTGCAACTTTGCTGTATTCTGATATCAGTTCTAGTAGCTTTGGAGTAGAGTCTTTAGGGTTTATGTACAATATCATGTCATCTGCAAATAGTGACAGTTTGGCTTCTTCTTTACCCATCTGGATTCCTTGTATTTCTTTGTTTTATCTAACTGCCATCGCTAGGACCTCCAGTACTATGTTGAATAACAGTGGGGAGAGTGGGCATCCCTGTCTTGTTCCCGATCTTAGAGGAAATGCTTTCAGCTTTTCACTGTTCAGTATGATGTTGGCTGTGGGTTTTTCATATATGGCCTTTATTATGTTGAAGTACTTGCCCTCTATACCCATTTTGCTGAGCGTTTTTATCATGAATGGATGTTGAATTTTGTCAAATGCTTTATCAGCATCCTTGGAGATGATCATGTGATTTTTGTCCTTCTTTTAGTTTATGTGGTGGATGACGTTGATGGATTTTCAAATGTTGTACCATCCTTGCATCCCTGAGATGAATCCCACATGATCACGGTGTATGATCCTCTTGATGTATTTTTGAATGCAGTTTGCTAATATTTTGTTGGGTATTTTTACATCTATGTTCTTGGTCTGTAATTTTCTTTTTTGGTGGGGTCTTTGCCTGGTTTTGGTAGTATGATGATGCTGGCTTCATAGAATGAGTCTGGAAGTTTTCCCTCTACTTCTATTTATTGGAAAACTTTAAGGAGAATGGGTATTATGTCTTCTCTGTATGTCTGATAAAGCTCCGTGGTAAATCCATCTGGCCTAAGAGTTTTGCTCTTGGGCAGTTTTTTGATTACTGCTTCAATTTCTTTGCTGGTAATTGGTCTGTTTAGATTTTCTGTTTCTTCCTTGGTCAGTCTTGGAAGGTTGTATTTTTCTAGGAAGTTGTCCATTTCTTCTAGGTTTTCCAACATTGTTAACTTTTAAAAAAACATTTAGTCATTCTAAGAGTTATGTGGTGATACTTCATTGTGGTTTTAACTTGCATTTTCCTAATGAGTAATTATGTTAACATCTTTTTATGGGCTTGTTTACCATCTCTATATCTTCTTGGTGAAGCATCTGTCGAATCTTTTGCCCAGCTTTAAGATTGGGTTTGCTTGTTTGCTTATTGTTGAGTTTTGAGAGTTCTTTACATATGCTGGATGCAAATTCTGTGTCTGATATATAAATCACAATTATTTTCTCATAGTCTATGGCTTATATTCTCCTTTTCTAACTGTGTCTTTCTTGGAGCAAAAATTTAAATTTTGATGAAGTCCAGTTTATCAATATTTTTCTTTTGATGTTGATTGTACTTTTGATATCATAGCTAAAAACACATTGTCTAACTCAAGGTTATAAAGGTTTTCTCTTTTGCTTTTTTCTGGAAGTTTCAAAGTTTCAGGTTTTATATTAAGCCCTTCTATCCAATTTGAGTTAATTTTTGTATATAATACTAGGTATAGATTGAAAAATTTTTTTGAATATGGATGGCCAATTGTTTTGGCACTATTTGCTGAAAAGACTAAACTTTCTTCATTGAATTGCCTTTGCCTTTTTTTAAAAAGCCAGTTGGCTATGTTTATGAGGGTCTATTTCTGGGTGCTGTTGTGTTCCATTGATCTATGTGTCTGTCCTTTCTCCAGTATCAGTGTGGGAGGTCCTAAGTTAGGAGTCGACATTGAGTGAGCAGGGAACATATGCATATGGGAGAGTATGACATGGGAGGGGCAGGGAGAGCTGGAGACTTCTGGGGGACAGTCTTTTAAGCTGAGATCAAGTCAGGAGAAGAGGATGGACAGATATCATAGGTCATTCCAGGCCTTGGGACCATCATGTGCAAAGTTAGAGGGCCAGGAAAGAGTGGGTGGGGTAACTGTACCATTCCAGTATGACTGAGACAGAGTATGGGAGATGGGTAGGAGATATCCCAAGCTGAGGTCAGGTCCAAAAAAGTGTGGATTTGATCCCAAGGGTGGGGTGGATACATTCATTTAAGAGGAGGTCATTTTAAGTGGGTCTTCAAGATGAGTAAAAACACCACATTCAGGAGCTTTTTTTTCCATCCAATCAGTGTATTGTTCCTATCTCTTAAAAAGGGACGCTGGCTTCCCATTAAGAGCAGACCCATGCTTAGCTGCCAGTCACCTCCTGGGGGAAAAGCCCACTCATCCCAGGACGACACGACCCTATTTATAGTTACCTGTGTGATTGAAACCTACTCATTTTTTCCTCTGTCCTGGGGCTCTGTAATGAGTCCTTAGTAAGTTGCAGTGCATTTCCAAAAATTGACCTACAGGTGGCAGCAAAATTAAGGCTCATTGAGCAAAAAAGCAGCTCTAACACTGCAGAGCACATCTAATTTGTTGTCTGCATAAGAGCAGGCTTGTTTTTAAATCTTCCCCTTCCCCAATCCTGGAAATAATATTCTCTAAGTGTCTTGGAATCAAACCTGCCAAATAGAGTGTAACATATTTCCTAATCATTTGGACCCCGTTCTCCCTTCTGAAGACGTGTTGGTTTCAGCGGGAATGTTTTCTGAGATGTGGATCATTGAGAAGATGATTCTGATTTGCTCCGGTAAGCTGAAGAAATAGCCAAGCACGTGGTATGAAGCAAAGTAAGGACAAATGCAGGGCAGGTGACACTGTGGAGGCAGGCAGGTAAGCACAAAAGAAAAGCATCGAGGCTAGGGTGGTGAATCAGTTGCCCCCTGCTTAGCATTATTGCTGAGGCACACCTCAGCTAGGTAAGCCTCTTTCTCAGAAAATACTCCACACTGCGCCTGAATTACAGAATTCTGTCATGGGAGACAAAGCTTTTCACAGAATTTACCTGTTACTTCCTCAGTGAAGTCATCTCCCTGGTGCACTCCCTCTCTCCCACCCACTACTAAGCCAGGTTATACTCTTGCTTATAGTGTGGTGCACTTTTCCTTCTTGGTGCTTTCCACAGTAATTACACGCCAGATAATATAGCATCTGGATCCTCTACTAGATGGTAAATCCCCGGAAGGCAAGGGTAGTTTTGTTTTGCCTACTTTTCTTTTCTACAAGAAAAGTAGGCAAAGCTTCTGGCACAACTATAGCAAAACTATTTATTGAGTAATTCTATGAGTATATAAACAGAAGAGGAAGCATAATATAAAGGCAGAAAGCCAGGTTGATCTGGGTGGGAATCCTGTGTCTGTCACTTATCCACTGTGGGCACTTGTATATATTACTTAAGCTCTCCAAATTTCAGTTTTCTCATCTGTAAAATAGGGAAAATTATGCTTATTTTACAGGGCCATCATGAGTATGCAATGAGAAAAATGTGAAGTGCTTAGAACAGTGCTTGAAACTGGGTGAGTGCTCAAATACTATTGCTATTCTCCTTTTTATAGAGGAGCCTTCATATGCAATTTGCAGGAGAAAATAACATAGATTTACATTCATAAAGAGATGAAATGACTAATATGAGAGCTTGTCATAGCATTTTGATAGGAGGAAGGATGGGAGTGTTGGAGGTGATGGAGCTCTGCTGCAGCTGCTGAGATGGGCAACTTGGAAGTCTTCAAATGGTTAAGATATTCTGTGTTAGGGTATTGAATAGGCAAATGCATCTCTGAGTCAGGAAAAGTAATAAGCTGACTAGGTGAAGCCATAGCCTGTTTCAAAAAAGAACTGTGGTCGGATCATTGAGATAAGTGGCAAGAATGTAAGGCTGAGCAAAACAATTAGACATTTAAGTCCCAACAAGAGAGCTCTTCAAGAACTGAGTAGCAGTGGTCTCCATGGGAAGAATGGTGTGGTTAAGGAAGCTGCAGATGGGAAGGGGAGATTTGGTGCCCTCTTCCTGAGAAGTGCTTTCAAACTGTTGTATACATGCTGTACATTATTTTAAAAGCAGGTCTTTTACAAATGTTTTTAATTATTAGGGATATTCATAATAACTAAAAAGTAGAAACAGTCCAAAATGTCCATCAACTGGATAACAATGATGGATAAACAACCTCAGTATATCCATAATGGTATATTATTTATTCAGACATAACAAAGAATAGAGTACTAATGCATCTATAACACGGATGAACCTTGAAAATATTGTGCTGAGTGAAATAAACCAGACACAGAAAGACAAATATTGCAGGATTCCACGTATATGAGGTACCTAGAATAGTTAAATTTATAGAGACCAAAAACAGGATAGCAGTGCCTATGGCTTAGGGTGGGGAATGGGAGGTGGCTGCTAATGGGTATGGGTATCTTGTTGGGATGATGAATATTATCTAAAATTAGATTGTGGTAATGCTCTCATGATTCTATGCATATTCTGAAATCCATTGACATGTATTCTTCAAATGAGTGAATTGTAGGGTATGTGAATTATATTTTAGTAAAGATATTATAAGTTATTAGGGATAGATCAGTAGTTCTCAACCCTGGTTGCACATTATAATCAGTTAAAGAGGCTAAAGAAAATACCAGTTCCCAGGGATCCACTTGCAACCAATTAAATCAGAATATCTGAGAAGTGGGGAATGGCTCTGGGTATTTGTGATGCCAAAGTTGAGAGCTTCTGGACCACATGACCAAGGGAGTAGATTTAGATTTTTCTACCTTTAGAGGACCTACTAAAGAATGGGTGCTGAATTTTATTGTTGTTTTTGTAAATCTTTGTGTACAAGGTGATTTCCATTTAGTTTTGCTTAAAGGCAGAAGAATGACTGAGCTATGTGACCTTACTGGAATCTTTACTATTTTTGGATTTTGGGATTAAATTCATCTGGTGCAAATGTGGTAAAAAGAGACAAGCATTTGTTCTAGTAATGTCTGGAGCTTTAGTGCAACTGGAAACAGTCTGTTCCTTTACATTTAGTAAACAGAGATAATGACACAGGCAATAACATGAACATTTTCATGCCAAAATTGTACTCCCCACTTAGCAAATTAAAATGATTAAGGTTTAGGAAGAAACTTTTGTTTCATTACTGTTGTCATCACTAGCAATATCATGATCAAAAACATTAATTGTCTGTTTATTCTCCATGCTGGACGGGGCAAGTCAGACATGTCTTGTTAGGTCAACCATTGTACTTTTTGAAGAAGAGAAATAAATGAATGTCCCTGTCAAAATCCCTATGAAAGCTGACCAGAGTTGTCTGAATTGCAAAACCTTTTAAAAAAATGGAGAGGATTGCTGATATTTTGAATTTTGCATGCAAGAAATATTGTTGGAAACTTTCTAAATAAACACATAAGAATACAGAATGCCATGCTATTAAATTGGAATTTGGAAGGGTAACTCTAGTAGCATAAAAGGAAGAGGAAGAGATAAAGGAAATTTGCATTTATTGAGCTTCTACTATTAGACAGACACAAAACTTAATGCTTTATTATAGTATGTCATTCCATTCTATCACCAATTGTCTTTCTAAGTAAGCATGTTCTTTTATTTATAGATGAGGAAATGAGACCAGTGAGGCCACCTGTTTTGCCCCAGGCTCCAAGCTTTTAAGTGGAGGTCCTGACCCAGATGCATGTAATTCTGCCAATCTGTCATTCTGAAGAAAGGCCAGACTGTTTTTATTTGACAGTTCCAAACAGGAAAGAGCCCTGAACATTACAAGACCCGATTCCAAATTCTGCATGGTCTTGGGCAAGCAACAACCTCTGTCTCCCCTGTTTCCTGAGCTATAATAGAGGGCAAGAACTTACGCCAGTGGGATTGTTAAGAAGCAGATGAGTTAATCTAGGTGAAAGCACTTGACATCTTGGTTGGCACAGCACAGGTGGGACATTACAAATGTCAGTCTATTGACTTTGATTTTGGGTTTCTAAGGTGTGGAGTGGCTTTTGTGGAAAAAGTCACTCATCTTGGTAAAAGCCTTGGCTTCATTCTGTTAGGCAGAAAAATAGATATGAGTGGGGTGGAAAGAGAATAAGGCCAGTAAAGCCCATGAAAATGGACTCAAAGAGTTAACCAGATAAAACTAAGAAGCCAGAAAGGACTCACAGAGTTAATGAGTTAATCAGTTGAAGTTTCAAAGGCCAGGAGTAACTTGGAATGTCCGGATATTCCCCAGATAAAGAAAAGTATCTGAGCACAGCCCATGTCTTCATTGCACCAATTAGATCATGCCATTGTAAGATTAACTTTAGCCGGCTGAAAGGCCCCGCTTATTTTTTAACTTAACCTATATGCTTTCTTCCCCCCTCTTCTTCCTGCCTCTTAATCAAGTAACCAGGGCAGGAGACAGACCTGGAAGTGTAAATAAACCTATGTGGACAAAGAATGCAAAAGTCCCAAACCAACATAATCACCTGAATAACCCTATTCTTAAGACAAAACTTAAGGAATTATGAATCACCTGTATACATCATGCCTCATGCTGACCCTTACCCAAAAAGGCCCTGTAAGACCCCAGACCCCGAACCCTTAAGCGTGCCTCTTCTCTGAGGTTGCCCCCACTCCTCTTCCTTTGAGTGTGTCGCTCTCTCTGTCCTACTTCAGATAAGTAGGGAGGGGCTGCTGAGAGCTCTGATTTGGGCTTGCAAGTTCCTGTCTCCTGGGCCTGGACTGGTCTGCAGCTGTGCAATAATGCTCCTTAGTAGCCTGCCTGAAAGTCTCTTTTCTTTGTCTTTGGGAAATTCTTGGAACTTAATCTCACTCCATCCAGTGCTCTGTGGCTCCCCCAAATCCTGGGTTGGTAGGGACTTACTTCCTATGCCCTTCAGATCCAAGTGGACACTGGACGCCAGGTAACACTGGCTTCAGGAGTTGGCGAGGGATTATGCCCTTAGGTCGAGCAGCAGTTCAATGAGCTTTGCTTTCCTTCCTCTATTTTTCCTTCTTCTCTGCTTTATTCAAGTAAACCTGCCTTTATCTTCCTTGACTCTGGCCCAGTACTCTCCTGGAATGCATTCAAATAAAACTCACTGTGCTTCACTTCTGTGTCTCTGCCCTTCACTTCTTTGTTGTGATGGGGACAAACCGAGAACAAACTTAACACCCCCAACATAACCAGCTTCTTTGAAAACTGTCTGTATCAGAGTCAGGCATAAAAGCCCTGGTTGAAAAAGGCTCCAGGTGGGTTCTGTCTGTCTGTCTGGGTAGGCATTTTGGTTTTCAAAGGAGTTATTTTCCTGGCTTGAGTTCTTTTAAAAACCCACTAGTCTGTTAACCAAGAGGATTATATTGAGAACCTGCTCTGTGCTAGGCAGTCTGGGAAATATCATGGTCTTTAAGGAATTCAACATATAGTTGCCGAGGGCAGAGCAAACACATGCAAAACAACAGTAGTACCAAAAAAGATGAGATTCTGTTGTTTAAAAAATGTAACATACAGGTTGAAAGTTTGGAAAGGATGTATGGTGGAAAATCAACCCCCTTCCAGCACTAACTTTCTTTCCTTGGCTATCTTTTCTTCTAATCAGTTTCTTCAGACTTTCTGGAGAGGTTCTTTCTATATGCAAACATATAGCTACATATAGCACCTTCTATTTTATTAGAGTACCAAATGAGGCAAACTATAATAATGTTCTGTACTTTGCTTTCAAAAATTCATAATAGGTCTCGGATATTGTGCTGTATCAGTACATATTGATCTCATTCTCTTTAATGGAATTCTTTTGTGTGAATGTACCACACTTCACTTAATGGACCCTTATCAATGGTCTTTTAGGTTGTTTCCAGGCTTTTGCTACCTGAACAATGCTGCAATAAATCCTCTTGACAAAGAGCCATAATTAAGGGCTAAATTGTGTGTTTAGACTGTAAGTGATTCTCATTTCACAGTGTGGGTGCTAATGGCATTTTGGGTGGGACGGGTTTTCATTCATTCTGTCTTTCCTCCTGAATGATTTTTGGCATTTCTGCTCCCAGTTCTCCCCTCCTCCCTGCCAGCCCCAGGTTACAGTGTGCTCCTGTTGTGACCGCCCAAAATACCTGCCCCTCCCCATTTCTGATGATCCCTGGGGGGATGCTATTGCCCATAGGAGGAACTGCAGCAAATGTAGGGAGTTAAGGTTGGAAGCCTGGGGGTGAGGTGGAGATAACGGCATCTGAGCAGAACCCTGAGGACTGGCACAGGCTTTGAAAACAACCTGAGAAGGCACCAGAGGCAGAGTCATCTAACTAAAGGATTTCCTTCCTCTTTCTGCTTACTCCCAGAGAGAAGGTGAAGTGTCTGTAAAGCTGACTGGCCTGCTAAGTGCTCCTTAGCCTCTAGTGTGGGTCCTGGAAGCACTCCTGGGTCCTTGCTTCAGCTTCTCGCTCCAGACTGCTTTTGTTGGAGGTGCTGACCTGGCGACTGTTACTAATAGAACAAGGAGGGTCATTGATACAGCTGGATGGGGCCACTGACTGGGCTGGGGGCAAATTACGCAATGCTTGAATTTTCACTCTGCCATTTCTGTGCCAGGAAAATAATATATTCTTTGGAAATCAAAGCTTTATATCATCTAGCTCCTTTTGATTAGAGAGAGGGAGTCAGGTTGACATAAAGATCAATGAGATACTGGGAATAATGTCACAGAATTCTCAGATCCAGAGTGTTAGGGATGGGAGGGAAGGGTAGAGATGGCTGACTGTGGTGGACTCCATGCCAATGGAAAAATGAGCAGAATCAGTGGATTCCTAACTGGTTTTTACATCAGAATTACTTGGAAAGTTATAAGAAAGAGAACAATGCAGTTTCCGAGGCTCCCTCCCAGACCAAAGAAGTAGGCTCTGTATGATTAGGATCTGTGTTTTTATTATGACCCTGAAGTAAATCCTTTGCCCTGTAATGGCCAATCAAGTTTTAGAAACTCTGATTTAAATAGATGCCAATTAAATAATTCCCACATCACATGAGAGAGTTAGAGGAGTTTGGAGTGCTCTTTGCTGGCTATCTGCTCTCTTGGTAAAGGGCGTGAGCAGATAATATGCTAGGTGGTTAATTATATTGACATTTATTCATTCTGAAATGTTTACAGAAGTAATTAGAAGTCAGATTAGGCATGATACTCATTGACCTTTAAGGAAGGGTTAGCTTCAAACAACCAAAAAAAGAAAGGATGAAAAGAAGAAAAAAATTCCTATTTCAAAAAGATAATCAGAGCAAAACACAGCTGGGATCTCTAGCTTGCAAAAGGAAGAGCTTTATTTGGCATTAAGGATGAGAGCCAGGTAATGGAAGATCATCATTCTGCGTTGTTTTACTAAATTTGTAATGTGAGAGAAAACTTCTTACAAATAAGAATCCTCCTAAATATGAGCCTGGAGGGAACTGGTCTTCTGAGAAAATACATTGTCAACTCTTTTCCAAGACCTGAGTCTTTCCTGGCTGTCCTAGCAGTTTTCAATTTTTTACCTGTCTTACTGGTGGGAGGGAGTGGGGAGAGCTGGTCCAATAATTTCCTAACTTGTTCAAGAAGCAGCAAAGAAACCCATTTGCAGGGGAGAGAAAAAAGCGAAGAGAAGAAAGAGGCTGAGAGAAGAGAAAAGCAGTGATCACCCTAAACCCAGGTTTCCCAGCCTCAGCACCATTGACATCTGGAACCACATAATTCTTTGTAGTGGAGGCTGTCCTGTGCACTGCAGGGGGTTCAGCAGCATCCCTGGCTTCTACCCTCTAGTTTTCTGTAGTACACACCCCCCACCTCCAACTCCAGTTGTGACAAACAAAATAATCTGCCAAATATCCCCTGGGGAGCAACTACTACCCTAACTAGACATTCATTTATTAACCCCTCAATCACCATTTCTCAGGGCAAAACCCCAGAGTCATCCTTAACTCCCATTCTTTTATACCTAATCCATGATTAAATCTGACACCTCCCATCACTGTAAGACATTGGAAGGACCAGCCAGAGCCTTCCAATATCTTAAAAGGTCCTTCCAGGTCTTGTTCCCAGTTCACCCTCTGACTTCAGCTCTTGCTACTATCCCTCACCCATCACTTTCCAATCCCATTGTTCTTGCTGTTCCTCAAGCATGCGTAGCACATTCCTGCCTCCAGGCTTTTGCATGTGCTGTTCCCTCTGGAATACTTGCCTGGTTTGCTTCTTCATTCCATTCAGATATATGTGTAACTGTCACCTTATCAGAAAGGCTTTCTGTGATTGCTCTATTTAAATGGGTGTAAGTCTGGGGAAAAATATTTTCCCAGCTCAGGGCAAATAACTTTTGAAGCCAAAATCAGTCAAAGGGAGAAATAAAGTGGAAGAAACCCATTTATTGCTTACAAGCACTCATTTACTTCTGCTCACCCATGTCTCTCATGACCCAGCTGCCAAAGGGACCCCACCAAACCTCTCTGGTCCAAATATGAATTTTCACTCTATCACCATCCCCCTCTTGTAATCACGTATTGATGTGGAGATGATTACTTGTCTCCACTCCTTGGAAACACCTATTAATATGGAGATGCACTAAGGCCAGGAGAGAGATTCTGGAAATATTGCAATTTTACCCACAATGGGCAATCCATTCTCTAGCTCCCTTACCCTGCTTTATCATTTTTTATTCAATTGTTTGTTTATTGTCTCTCCCCCTGTTAGGGTCCAGGACTCCGGGGTTTCCCAGAGAACAAGACACACAGACACGGAGATGAAAATCCAAGCAAAGTCTTTATTCAGCCAGCAAGCTGGGGTCGACAGCACCTCCCCTGACACGCAGGCCGAGTCCGAGCTGCTGATCCCCAAGCAACTTTAGGTATGGTTTATATGGGATTTCTACAGTCATTGCACCGGAGCCTGAACATTACCCCAACCAACGAATTTGAAACACATTCTATACTTTGGCCAATAAAATTGGAACAGGGATACACCAGGTGCCTGACCTTTGCACAAGCATTCCTATGTGACTTATCATGAGTTTCGACCCCAGAGGGGTCGTTTACTTCTAGTTATCTAACTTAGGGTAGGGTCCAGGAATGTTAGCCTCACGTAGTTTCTACGAAAACTGGGTGGCTCAGCCCTGTTCCCTGCATTCCTCTACACCCCAACAGAATATAAATTTATAAGAGCAGTGATTTGCTTCCTTCACTGCTATACCACCAGGACCTGACTTGAGCAGTGCCTAGTATTGCTGAATGATGTACAGGCTACTCTAGGTACCAGAAGGGACATTCTATCACTATCATAGAGCAAAACTATAAGCGAGCTAATTACATAACAACAGGCAATGGTTAAATAAATTATGACATGTGTGCAGCCATTTAAAAATTTATGCTTTCAAGGTTTTAAGGTCAAAATGAAATCTTGCCAGTAGTCCCTAACATATTTCTCCTAATTGTCAACACAATACCTATGGCACTCAGTGTACTGGAATACTCAGACATAAACCAAAACTTAATGCAACTCTGACACCTAAGGCTATATATAACAATCTGTTACTAGAATTTGGGAGGAATTTCCATAAATAACAAAGACAACAAAACTAGATACCCCTGTATCTTCCAGAAACATAATGAGTTTATATATTTGAAATCAGGAAATAGTTTTGTCATTCCCCACTTTCTGCTCCCTGAATTAATCAAGTATTTAGTGTGCAAATATCAAATACTGAAATCTCCAAAATCCTGTAGGGTTATGAAGATATCTCAGACATGATTAATAGTCACCATAGCAGTAACTATGATGCCAGCCAGCAGTAGAATGCTTCCACTTCTGAAGCACACTCCACCAGGGGATCTGACATTATCCTCAGTTATACCAAGACGAACAGAGGAGATTGGTTCCCCACTTGATAGCTTTTAAAAAGCTTATCAAGCAGGAACTCAGATAAAAAGTTTCCTTCAAGATGTTCAAAAGACCCTCTTAAAAAGATTATTTACTGAGGTGTGCAGAGATCAATGAAACACCAAATGGATAAAGTATCTAGTGACTACCAATGGGGGGGCCATTACTGCCTCTGGGAAGGAAGGTGCAAAAGGGAGCTCAGAGAGCCCCAGACATGGAGGTGTGTCTGTGTAGGGAGAGAGATAGTCAGGGAGGGTCATGGCCATTTTAGGGCCATGGCAACAAAATCAGGCAGGGGAGGGACTCCCACAGGCTAAACCCAGCAAGAAGTCAGCTGGCAAGGAATTCCAAGTGATTCTGCCTGCAGGAGCCATTCTATAGGGTACAGAGCAGAGTGAAAGGTGGCTTAGAATAGGGTTGCTGCAGTGGAGGTCATGAGAAATGCCTGGATTCCGAGCATATTTTGAAGGCAGAGGTGTCAGATTTTAATCATGGATTGGATGCAGGGTATAAAAGAATGGAGTTAAGGATGACTCTGAGGTTTTGCCCTGAGAAATGGTGATTGAGAGGTAAATAAATGAATGTCTAGTTAGGGTAGTTGCTCCCCAGGGGACATTTGGCAGATTATTTTGTTTGTCACAACTGGGGGAGGCGGAGGTGTGTACTATAGATAACTAGTGGGTAGAAGCCAGGGATGCTGCTGAACCCCCTGCAGTGCACAGGACAGCCTCCACTACAAAGAGTTATGTGGTTCCAGATGTCAGTGGTGCTGAGGCTGGGAAACCTGGGTTTAGGGTGATCACTGCTTTTCTCTTCTCTCAGCCTCTTTCTTCTCTTCGCTTTTTTCTCTCCCCTGCAAATGGGTTTCTTTGCTGCTTCTTGAACAAGTTAGGAAATTATTGGACCAGCTATCCCCACTCCCTCCCCTGAAATGTGGCCTTTAAGCTCCTACATCCAAGTTCAATTCACTAAACATTGTCTTTTTGTTCCAATTTGGTGTCTTCAGGAGGTTGAATTTCATTGGCCCAGGCATCCCCTCTGTTCCAGTTAGGCATGTCAGAAGGTGGGCTCACGTGGGTCCCTGTCCATTTAACAAAGACTGTGGGAAGGATATTTTGGGACTGTGAGAGGGTTAGATAAAAAAGTTAACTGGCGTGTCTGTTGTGAACTTGGAGAATTCACCTTAAAGATCTGACTCCTGGGGGTCCTGCTTAGGTCACAGAATTGACCAGGCTTCTGCAGTGTTAGCCCAGACCTTTAAAATTAGCAGGAGAGGGAAACGGTGGTGGTGCTGGGGGAGAAGGATGGCTAAGGATCTCCTAGGCCATATTTGGAATCTGAATCCCCACTGAGCTGGACATAAAAGAAAAGGCTGCTTGCTGTGTTTTTTCTGTCCTTTTTTAATTGAATTTAAATCCAACATATCTTCAGAGAAAATCATCTGGAGCAATAAACACTCAAAGCTAGTGGACTGGAATGAAAAATAATAGTGGGAAGAGAGCATGGAAATGCATTGTTCATTTATTGTGACATATGTTTCTCCTCCTGGATTTTCATTGACTATATTATCTAGGCAGGAACTTGTTTTTAGAGAGAAAAGGTATTCTGCAGATGGCAGCATATTGGAAGCATTGTGAAAAAGAGGAAGGATTATATCAGACTTATACTGAATCAAACGTTCAGTTAAGAATTAGTTTGAGATCATTTTTCTGTGCAGTAATGAGCATTGTAATATTTCCAGCCTGCTGTTCCACATGACTACTGCATTTCTCACAAAGGGATGCCTCTGAAGGCCTCAAAATAGTGTTAATAAAAACTGTCATAGGAACAGAATGATGATGGTGAGGAGAGAGGTGGCCTGATCCGGCCCAGGGAAGTACTTGCAGACTCTTGGCTTGGGCAAAGCAGAAGACTCTGGCAACCAAAATGTCTCCTTTGCTTCTTCGACCCTTTGGAAGTAACTCCATTTCTATGATCTTTCAGGCAGGATTCTGAAAGTCCCTGTAGATGAGCAATTATCATCTAATAATTAAGCCATGAGAGTCCATGTGCATAAAAAATTAAGATGTAATTTACATATAAGTCACCCATTTATAAAGTGTACAAATAAATGTTTTTTAAAAATAATAATTCACAGAATTGTGCATTTATCACCACTTAGATTTTAGAACATTTTCATTACCCTTAAAAGAAAACCCCTACTCATTTCCCCAAAAACTCTAGCCCTAGGCAACCATTAATCTACGTTCTGTCTATGTATATTTGCCTCTTTGGAAAATGTCATATAAATAGTGTCATGCAATATGTAATATTTTGTCTGCTTTCTTTTAGTTAGCATGTTTTCAAAGTTTATTCATGTCATAGCATGTATCAGTACTTCACTCTTTTTTATGGCCAAGTAATATTTAATTGTATGATATATCACATTTTGTTTATCCATTCATCAGTTAGTGGACATTTGAGTTGTTTCTCATTTGGACTATTTTGAATAATACTGCTGTAAACATTTTTCTGTAGGCCATTTGCACTTTAGCACTAATTAATTTATCAACTCAAAAAGAAACTGCTCTAGAAGTATGCCACGATCTGCCCTCTTTGTTCTTTGCCCTTTGTTCCTGCCCCAGTTGATTACTCTCTCTGTTATTACAACATCTTGTATGTCTTTTTATTATTAGTCCTTGTTGAACTCTAGTGTGATGGTTTTCTTACTATCTCACCAGTTGCCTCTGTGAGAGGAAGGGTCATGTCTAAGTCATCTTTCTATCTCCACCACCTAGTAATAACTAAGCTTACAACTAGTTCTACTTTTTAACTAATTGCTGAATTTCCAGATATGGCCAAAAAATGAGTTTTTATTTTTTACTCTTTAAAGGGATTTCAGAGTCTCAGTTTGGCCTTTAATTCCACATCTTTTTCTCTGGTCGCCATGGCCAAACCCAAAGGTGACTGAAATCTATCCTTGTCATTCATGGTGGACCAGAGGGAGGCACCAAGGCACCAAGGGGATTGGGAAAATCAGATTATTTTGCTTATCTTTATGATGTTAAACAATCTTTTTGTGTTTCTCCTCTTATCTTTCCGTTTTGAACTCTGAAGGCAGGGGGAACACCTAATGGGTTTCCTAGTGGGGGTGGGTGGGTGGGGAGGAAGGTGAATAAAAAGCATCATAAAAGTGTGGGGCTACAGTCAGAGAGGAGGCTTCTTGGACCCAGCAGAGGATAGCATTGCTGTCGATGACACAGTTGAGCTTTCTCTTGAGCATCCACTTAGCTGGAGCTGCGTCTCTTACAGTTTTTACAAGAAAGGGTCAGATCTTCCTTTAGGATCTCAGGGCTTGGTGTGCTCAACATGGCTTTTGACAATAGTGCAGTCCCTCATGGCCAAGCAACAAGGTCATATTGACTAAAGCGAGTCTTCTGACAGGCTGGCTTCTGGGCTGTCATGGCGAGGCTGCTGCTCCTCACTCTTAGGTCACCATGTCTTCCTCAGTGCTCCCGAGTCAGTGGTGGGAGACCCTGGAGGGTTTGGAGTAGAGGAGTGACATGATCAGACCTTCAATTAAAAGACTCTTTTGGATGCTGCATGGACCTTGCTCTGAAGGGGATTAGTTGCTGTGGGAGTGACTAGTGAGGAGGCTTTTGGGGATAATTTGGGTAGAGATGATGGTAGCTCAGACCAGGGTTGCCACAATGGTGGTTATGAGAAATGGTTGGATTCAAGGTATATTTTAAAAGCATAGGTGTCAGATTTTAATCATGGATTGGATGCAAGCTATAAAAGAATGTAGTTATGAATGACTCTGGGTTTTGCCCCAAGTAATGGTGGTTGAAGGGTAAATAAATGAATGTCTGGTTATAGTTCTCACCATTATGTACACTCTCAGATAGCTCACCTCCTGTTTTGAAACTGTTCATTTGTTGGTCAGAAGATCACAAGACTCCATATCTTGGACAATTGGGATTTTGTTTTAGGTCTGTGTTCACTTTAGTCTCAGTGACTGTTTTTGAGTGGGCTACTAAAAATGGCATCCCTTTGTGCTTGCTGA